GATTTATTAATCTTTTTGGTGAGTTTAAGATTTCCGCAAATGTTTTTGTAAAAAAATAATTATATTTATACTGATACTAATTGAATAAGAGATGTTTTGAATAAGATAAAGTATTTTAATTAACACTTTACATAGAAAAGAAGTAGTAATTCACAAATAAAACGCTATAATCTAAACTAGATAAAGGAAACAAATTAGTAAAATTTATATTGCATAATAAAAGTAAAGTTCTAGAAATATTATTTAATGACACTCGAATATCAGATTAATAAAGTATATTAAATATGGACAAAATAATTAAGAGGCCATCCATAAAAGACGTCATCCAAATAAGGGAGGGGGGGAAGAGGTCGAGTTAAAAAGGACAAAAAAGGACAAGGGGAGGAGGGAGGTTGTCAGAAAAGGACGTCACTTTATAGATTTTTTATTTTAGTTTAATTAACATGGAAAACTACGTAAACATGTGTTTTTAAGAAGATAATGTATGAGAAGATAATGTATGAGAATATTTTTAATTTTATTTTTCAAAGGTGTAGCAGCAGATTCAAACATCATTGCGAGATAAGATAAATTTTTTTGGAGTTAAAAATAAGGGGGGGGTTCAGGATTTTATGACATCATTTTCAAGGGGTATAGGGAAAAAGGACAACCGGTGACAAAGGGGGGGAGGGGGTCAAAAATTGGCTAAAAAAATGGTGACGTCCTTTATGGATGGCCCCTAATACATATCTATTTGCATATTTAAATTATTACACAAATAAAAAAATTTATAACATAGCTGTTTTGTGAATCTGATAATATTGATACGCTAATTTAATAATATTAATAGTCGAATTACGTCATTTTCTAGGCTTTTCTATTTTAAAGTAGTTTCTAGGCTTTTCTATACGCGGGTTTTTTTTTAATTTTATTTACTAACAACCCGTATTACGGGTTGCTTACTGCTAGTGTTAAAAAAGACTATAAAAAGTTGTTTTAAAAAATATGAATTTTACGTATTTCAACATGAGTTTTTTTATTTCTTTAATTATTAAGTAATTTGCATAAAGTTAAAAAATTAAACCAGAGTCATAATATGAAATAAATAACAAAAGGTATAGAAGTTTGTTAATCAAAATAAAACGCAAAACGTCTCCTTTTTTTAGATAGCTCTACA